CCCCCCCCGCCGCCCCACACACACACACACACACACATATATACAAGTAAGGACATGTTATTCTTAAAATTGAAATTTCTATCTCAGCAAGACCAGCAAAACTGGTTAGAGACGCAGAAATGTCTGCTCCCTGTGGGACAACCGTTCTCTATCCTACAAGCGGTGGCAACCTTCACTCTTTCAGAGCAATAACTCACTGCGCTCTGTTCGACATTCTATCACCCCCTTACTCTTCGGAAGATGGAAGACACTGCTCATATTTCAAGAAATCACCGAGAAAAGATGACATAGGCAAGTTCTCTCTCTCTCTCTCTCTCTACTCTCTCTCTCTCTCTCTTTCCTCTCTCATCCATGTGAGCTTGAAAAGTTCCTGTTGGGTTCTTCAGGAGAAGTTATTGATGGAATAGATGAGTCTGAAGTAGCTTGGTTGGAAGAGTGTCAGCCCCCTGATAGCTTTGTTATAAGGAGAGGTATTTATAAAGGCCCTGCAATTCGAATTTAGTTGGGGGCTTGCTTTTATCTCTTGCTGCTACTTAGAGGGCATATAATATATATTATATAATATGATTTGTGAATAATTTTGCAAATAAATTCTGTTTTCTAGATGCAATTTTAGTAAATTAACCCACATTTATTTTTTGCGAGATTCTCTTTTCAGGGAATTTTTACATACATACAACACAATTCTTATGTATTCACAGTTCTAACACCCAAAATTTGATATTTACACTTATAAAACTTTGGTATCATAAATTTATGCATGAAAATGTGTATTTCATATTTAAAAAGATAATATAGTGATGGTGGTATTTTTGATGTGGTGTTAAAGATGTATAGTGATGGTGGTATTTTTTATGTGATGTTAAAGATTTGAGTGATGTGCACATAGATATGAATATTTAGGTGTTTGATACACAAATATATAAGAATTGTATGATATATTACAGGAATAAATGGCAGCCCCTTCTTGTTACTGGGCACTATGCTTAATGATACTTTAAATTAATCTGATATATGATAATTGTATAAAAAAATCATATTAATTAGTTAAGGATGTCCCAACAATTCATTTAATTGTTTTGATTAAGGGAATGATTACAGCTGTTTAAAAAAAATTAGTTTTTTTTAATCTCTGGCATATTTGGAGGTGAATTCTCTTTGTCAAGTTGGAATTGTTTGGTCAATATTCCTCAAGGGCCGAACAACTGAATAAGCTGACCAGAAAAGGGTCACACCTTCAACTGCTATGTTATGTGCTTTGTACAATGTACATTTTATTTCTTGTGTAGCATTATTTGTAGCGCATCTCGGGCCAGCTCAATTTATAAATAGAGGTGACTGTCATGAGGTATAAGGGGCTTCTTCTGATAGTATTCTTCTGATAAGACTTCTCTCAAAGAAAACAAACCCCTTGTACAATGTACATTTTATTTCTTGTGTAGCATTATTTGTAGCGCATCTCGGGCCAGCTCAATTTATAAATAGAGGTGACTGTCATGAGGTATAAGGGGCTTCTTCTGATAGTATTCTTCTGATAAGACTTCTCTCAAAGAAAACAAACCCCTTGTAGCTATTCCTTTCATAGAAATAAAAGTCATGTAGGAATTTCCTCTTTTTCCTTTGGTCTATATTTCTTCTATGGTTCTTACCTTCTAGTAGTTCATTCCTAGGTTATATAGGACCTAAGATCCTCGAAGGTACTGTGAGTATGGACCCTATCTTAAACTAGACATAGAGTTTTGCACAAAAAATAAAGCCACAAACTTCATTCAAACGATATGGAATGCACTAAGGAGTTCATTGTGTGACAAATGAATGACCTAAATGAGAAGATGATGGTGAAGATCGAGGAAGTTTTGAAGCTCATGCCAAGAGAATGCCTACCCCGATGGTGTAGATTCCTCTCCTTTTAACTATGGGAGGGAGAGAGGGAAAGTGAAGCTATTTGTTAAGAGATGCCAGTTGGAGAATGCTAAAAAATAAATGTGAGTGTGAAGTCGCTAGAGAAGTTCAAGATTTTAACTTGGGAATCTTATAAAAGTAGATTCGATCCTGTTCGCCTTGTAACACCATTCAAGTCAGCATTATGTCTAGTACGAATTAATGACACTTTCGAATGCCATTTATTTTTTATGATTCTCATGAAGTCACCCTTTTGTGTATTTTACAACCTTCTACTTTGGGTAATAATCTCATTTGCTAAGTTCAAATGCATGTTCATTGCATAATTCACTAAAACATAGAAGCCACAACAGAATTTGCAAGCTATGTTACAAATTCTTCAAGAGCCAGAAGAACCATTTAGAGTATTATAACTTGCTTCTAGAGGGAGATGTTAAGAGGTAAGATATCTAAAAGCAGTAGTTGCTCATGCCTCCCTAGCATAGGGTCTAAGAGAAGGCCCATTTCAATACTCTCTTGGGTTACAAGGACTGATAATATTAGTTAAATTATTAGAGCTAGCTAGCAATTATATCTTCATGGAAAAGTACAATTCGTTACAAAGCACATAGAGTGGCATCTCCCAAGGAAAAGCTTTTAATCCTTCAGTTAGAAAGTCGAAGGTTGCACTTTTGAGCAAAGGGCGAGGAAAACTTTGAGAAATGGTGGTCTATCTTATTGAGGTGCGAACTAATTTTAATAAGGGTGATTTGATCGTCGGATGGAGCATATGTCACAACCCCCACCACTTATTAGTAACAACTCCATTGAGAGTCTCGATGAGAAAATCATTGAAGTCATTCAAGATCCATTCAAGATAAAGATTACTTCTCGAGACTAACCCTTATGAAAGCTAGAGGTCATAGCCATGAAGGAATAGCCATCCACCCATTATCTTCACTAGAGATGTTCTCCTTATAAATAGAGAACTAAATAAAGACATAATTGTGGTCACACCATTAATTATAAACTATACAATTGACAACATCCAATAGACAAAGTGTTTAGTAAAAATCCTCTTTTGTGGTGTCTACGACAAAGCTTAGGGTCTTCAAACCTTATTCCCACATCAGGCCCTTTGTTTGGCTATTTTAGAGAAATGAAAAAAACCCATAAGAGTCAAACCCTTACCTATCACTTGAGGAGAATAATATACATAATACACAGCCATAGCCAACTTTGTAATAGTTAATATGCTAGCTATGTACAATGCAATATTTGGCCAACCCTTGTTGATTACCTTTCATGTTACTATCAAATTTATGTGAGGTAGATAATTATTTACTATTAGATGGATTTAAAAACAACCTCAAAATTGCTTCATTGAAGCTATAGAGACTGTACAAAGGGAGATCCTACAACTTGATATGCAAAGGGAAAGCAACCTAGAGGCCAATGAGGTCGACAATGAAATTATCATCTTCGAAGGAGAATCCAGAAGAACATTTTGGCAAAGATATCTTTTGATGCAGGGTTAATAAGCAGATGGATTACAACTCTTTGCATGTATAGAGATATTTGCTGGCCAACTAATGAGATGCTATGAGCAAGTGTTGATCTCTGATGTCATAGAATCAATGTTGACCCTAGAGCTCAACCAATCAAGTTGAAGATGAGATCAGTCACTACCATTCTCAATGAGTTTATTCTCTAAGAAGTAAGCAACCAACACTGATACTTTTATCGGAGAAGTTCAATATTGGCAAGAAATAAAAATATATATATCAAAAAATAAGATATTCACCTAAATTTTTCTTATGTCATCATCCTTAAATAAATTGCTTCAAGCTCTCATCCTCCACATCCATTTGAGGAGATACCTAAGTTGTCGCATGGATTTCTTAGACTACCTCTCTCACCAAAGAAGTGCTAGAATTAATCCCCTAGGTAGCATGAAGCCTTGTAATCTCCACATTCTTTCTAGTTTCTTAAACCCACTCATCAAAAAGGGTATCTATGATAATCCAAAAAAATGATCAAGTCAAATTCTAACAATAGTTATGCAAGAAGCTTATATCTTCAATGACCAAGCTCTCTCATTTTTTCCCAAAAGCATGTTGTTCAAACTCCCGCTCATTGAAAAATAGGCTCATCATTCATGTTCAAAGCGCCATTCACAATCAATCATGCATGTTGATCAACATATCACTTCTCGCTCATAAGCCTATTCTCTTATTATTATTTGAGTTCCCCAGTAAAAAATGCAAGAGAATTGTGAACTAAATATGTACAACTATAAACTCTTAAACAGAGTTTAAATCAACTTACAGGCCAACTTGCCAAATTAACCAACTAGTTTAGCATGACAGCCAGACCACACAGACCAACCACCCAATTCATCTAGACAACTTGGTTTGGCAGATAAAGACACTAGTTTTACCAAATCATTGGCGGCATTTGGAGGCAAACCCTCTCGGTCAACCAACCTTGTACAATGTTCCTTTTATTTGTTGTGTATTGTTGTATCTAGTGCACCTCGGGACATACCAACTTATAAATAGATGTGGCCATCATGTGGTATAGGGCTTCTTTTGGGAGGATTCTTCTGATCAAGCTTCCTCTAGAAGAGTTGAAACTCCTGTAAATTTTTCTCTCTTCTTTCATTGGTCTCTATCTATCAAATTATTTTTTTCTTCTCACACGAATGACCAGAGGCTATACGAGCCTAGAACATCCCTCATGTGCTTATAATTCGAGTATCAAACCCTGCACTCGGGGGGAATCGAAACCCAGACCATAGGAGACTTACAACCGATAAGCAGATGCTCAACCAACTGATCTGAGTATTACACACACACACACACACACACAAAGATAGTCACACACGCTCACGCTTAATTACTTAAAATTGCAATATTGTAATCCTACTATATTCAACTAACATCAACCAATTTTCAATAAATTATAACATCTAACATCAATATGTGATATATGATATTTATTACTCATTTAACTTCTATACAAACATGAAAAGGTGAATTCCTTTTTTAAGAATACCACCACTACAACTTTTAAGAATTGCAATACACCATTTATGTATAGATAAGATGTCATATATTTAAAAATTGAAGTTTATATGTTAGATATTTAAATAGGAATTAGGGGGTATATGTATATGTATATTTAATTATTTGGCTAAATTGGGCTAATCAATTAATACAATTAAATTTTCAGCTCTATATTGACCTCATCAAAACCTAAATAAGGTCGACAAAATCGACGAATTCGATCATTATAATTATATGCATGTACTCCTAATCACCGAGCATAACTATCTTAAGCTTAATTGTTAGATAATGACACCATAATTATATAAAAATTAATCATAATTTTCTTATTATTTTAATATTAGCCCACTTCGCAACTAAAATAAGAAACTCGTTCAAAAAAAAAAAAAATGAAAACTTCGTCAAAGAAAGAACGATTTAAACTAGGGGCGTTTACATCGACATCATTATTTTTTAGGGTGGGCAAAAACGCCATTAAGAATTTACATATCTAATACCTATTCCTTACATTTTATACTTTTAGCCAAAAATTCTTTCATATCACAAGAAGAATATTATTACCATTAACTTTTTAAAAGTGAAGTAGACATTTTAATGCATTGGCAAAGTGGTATTAATATAAATATCAAAGTTTAGGTAACAAATATGTAAATATATAGGAATTTTGCCCCCTTTTTATTAAAGATTGGAAAGTGATTTTTTTCTAAGTGAATTA